CGAGGAACTCCCGGAGTCCACCAACACCCTCTTGACGTCGAATTTGCCTATCTTCCGGGTTATGATTAGGGCATCGTTATGGGGGGTCACCACGCCCGCCAAGTCTGCGTCGGAGAACGTGATGCCTGGCTCGACAATCCTGGTCCTTTTATTGGGCGGCCCCCCATCACTCTCGGCAATTTTTCTCGTAAATGCTACTCTCTTAAGATCAGACTCGAGTTCCTTGGATGTTGGGCGATCCAGTGGACATACATGGATCACGTCTATGACATTGTCTAGCTCCCCGGCCGGGGCGGGGACGTGTCTCTCTTCCGACTCAGGTTCTATGTATTCTTTTAAGTAACCGTCCCAGACCAACCTTTCCAAGAAAGACTTGTATACTCTGCAACTTTCGGTGCGATGACCGAAATCCCGGTGATAGGAACACCTGACCTTTTGATCACGGGTGGAGGGATCGCTCTGTATTCTGGGCGGCCACTTGAAGAATGGCTCATGCTTGATCTTGTGTAGCAACTTGTAGATGGGTTCTTTAAACATAGTCTGAACACCTTTGAATGACCCCTCCCCCCCCCGGAGGGGGTAGCAGCCCCTTCCGAGAAGTATCCTCTCGCTCCCTCTTTTTTCTCTTAGGTTGGAGGGTTCTGCCTTTGCTGCTTCCCATTTCGTCCTCGATCCTAGAGTATTTGTTTTTCCAGGCCATCAGCTCGCCCATATTCGAGGGAGTTTTTTTTGGTCAGGGATCGGTATAGGTCTATGTCCCTTGCCAAGCCGAGCCTGAAAAATGCCACTGTCATGACTTCCGAGCAGCCCTCTACTTCATTAACCTCTTCCCAGTACCGGATGGCATACTGGCGAAGGGTCTCGGATTCCCTTCGTCTGAGCGTTAGTAATGATCCAACGTCTTTTGGCCGCTTACGCCCCGTGATGAATCGGGCTAGGAATTACCTCGTTAACTATTTCCATGATCCAATGCTATTGGGGGGAAGAGCCTCGAACCACTTCATCGCGGAGTCGCCCAAGCTCATGGAAAATACTCGGCAGAGAAACCGTTGGTCTGAATGATATAGCGACATCATTTGCTTGTATTGTCTGAGGTGAGCTTCGGGATCGGACCGCCCATCGTAAGTTTTGAACCTCAACACAATGAACTTTTTTGGAACCTCCATCTCTCCGATATCCCTGGTAAAGGGTGATTGTATGACCTCATTTTCGACATTATCCTGGACAACCTTACCCTTTCTCCTGGATTCCAACCGAGCTCTGAGATCAATTTTCTCCCCAACGGGATGTCTTCTGAGGTCTCCAGGTTCATTGATTGGGTTTCCCTTTTTTGGGCGTCGCATGGAAAGGGTTGAATCCTCCTCGGACTCGTCTCCCTTCCTCCGCCTTGACAGCCCTCGCCGGAGGTCGTCCGGGGCTAAAGGCCTTGCCTTCCTGAAATAGTCATCGAGGGGGTGCTCGTTGGCTCTTGGGCGTTTCGGAGCCCTGGAGCCTTCAACCGTGTTATTTATATGATCTCTCAGGTCCTCAGTTTCTGCTTCTCGGGCGGGGAGTCCACGAGAAGGGAACGAGTCCCTCGACCCTTCGCCGGAGGTGGCGAATTCATTGAGCCGGCTTAAGNTCCCCCCCCCGGAGGGGGTAGCAGCCCCTTCCGAGAAGTATCCTCTCGCTCCCTCTTTTTTCTCTTAGGTTGGAGGGTTCTGCCTTTGCTGCTTCCCATTTCGTCCTCGATCCTAGAGTATTTGTTTTTCCAGGCCATCAGCTCGCCCATATTCGAGGGAGTTTTTTTTGGTCAGGGATCGGTATAGGTCTATGTCCCTTGCCAAGCCGAGCCTGAAAAATGCCACTGTCATGACTTCCGAGCAGCCCTCTACTTCATTAACCTCTTCCCAGTACCGGATGGCATACTGGCGAAGGGTCTCGGATTCCCTTCGTCTGAGCGTTAGTAATGATCCAACGTCTTTTGGCCGCTTACGCCCCGTGATGAATCGGGCTAGGAATTACCTCGTTAACTATTTCCATGATCCAATGCTATTGGGGGGAAGAGCCTCGAACCACTTCATCGCGGAGTCGCCCAAGCTCATGGAAAATACTCGGCAGAGAAACCGTTGGTCTGAATGATATAGCGACATCATTTGCTTGTATTGTCTGAGGTGAGCTTCGGGATCGGACCGCCCATCGTAAGTTTTGAACCTCAACACAATGAACTTTTTTGGAACCTCCATCTCTCCGATATCCCTGGTAAAGGGTGATTGTATGACCTCATTTTCGACATTATCCTGGACAACCTTACCCTTTCTCCTGGATTCCAACCGAGCTCTGAGATCAATTTTCTCCCCAACGGGATGTCTTCTGAGGTCTCCAGGTTCATTGATTGGGTTTCCCTTTTTTGGGCGTCGCATGGAAAGGGTTGAATCCTCCTCGGACTCGTCTCCCTTCCTCCGCCTTGACAGCCCTCGCCGGAGGTCGTCCGGGGCTAAAGGCCTTGCCTTCCTGAAATAGTCATCGAGGGGGTGCTCGTTGGCTCTTGGGCGTTTCGGAGCCCTGGAGCCTTCAACCGTGTTATTTATATGATCTCTCAGGTCCTCAGTTTCTGCTTCTCGGGCGGGGAGTCCACGAGAAGGGAACGAGTCCCTCGACCCTTCGCCGGAGGTGGCGAATTCATTGAGCCGGCTTAAGACGTTCACATTGTCTTTTTCCAACTGTCGTAATCGATCCCCAAATTTTTCTTCGATCACCTCCGCCAGTTGACGAGCCAAGGGGGCGGATTCTCCTGACCTAATGCCCATACTGATTTGAGGAGTAAGCCCCCTTGACTGAATAGAGACATTTCTGTTGTCATCAGCGCGACCCTTCCCTACATCATGACAAGGAGCTTTAAAATCGAGACTTCTTTGCTGAGGACCTTTCCCCTTGTGTCGAGTATTCACCATGATCACTGTCCTTTTTAGAGAAGAAACTAGGAAAACTAGTTGTTTTCCACAGACGGCACCAGATTGTGCGTGCAGGATCTTGCACAATATAAAGACGAAAACAAATCTCTCCCGTGGTGAACTCGAGTCAGTCAATCGAATGGTCAACCTTGCTACTTGGAACAGACTGTGAGGCCCGGTGGTGGCCTGAAACGGTAATGGATGACTTTCGTGGATCAACGGAGTGGTCCGGTAAGGCTGAGGGAGCTTCCTAGAACAGAGAAAAATGAGTTAGGAGGGGGCCGGAGTGTTTTTCGGCGTATCCCCTCCGACGATCAAGTCAGTTCTTTGAGAGAGGGGAAGGAGAAAACACTGTGTATTTTTTTGAGAAAAGGTTTCTTATTGCATACCGTCTTGCCTTTTATGAGGAGTATTTATACCTCAAAAACTCATGATTGTTGTCAGTGTGGTCAGTAGGTGATCATTAGATACGGATAACGTGCGCACTGATTCCTATGAGGAATGTCTTCTCTCTTAACTGCTCGGGACCTCGAGCAACCAATGCTTCATCATCGATCTGCCAAATGTTTAATGAGCTTCTCTCGGCAAGGATGTAATAAATGCCCAGTCATGGAGACATTTATTACCTTTCACTTCTAAGCCTTCCTGCATTAAATGATGTTTTATCAAGGGAATGATGCACTAAATGCTTGTTTTCTCAAGTCATGTGTCAGCAAGGGCATCTCGGTCTTTTTGTCTCTAATCTGACACAATATGGCACGCGCTCATTCCCCATTAGTTGTGTCTTCTGCCTTCTTGTGCCTTCTGACAATAATTGTGTAAGACGAGGTTATGATGGCTAACCTAGCCTAACCTAGGCTAGTGACCTGTACATCAATAGCCTCTATAGGAGCAGAGAACGTCATCCTGAACGGGTACATCTCGGTACCGAGGGAATGGTACATATAGGGATCGATGTACTCATATCCGACCGAAGGATACGTGTCGGTACGTAAACGTATTGGGTGTCATTGATCCTTATGAACAGTACCTCGGGGAAAGAGGGACTTGTGAACAGACGGGTACGTGTCGTGATCACAGTAACAAGGATTTACTGATGCCGAGGACACGTATCTTCATCTTAGAGTATTTGGAAATATCCCATCAATTGGTATTCAGTGGTTCTCTGCCACTAGTGGTTACGTCCTATGTATTTATTAAGGTTTTTGATTTGATCAACCATGAGAGCATGAACTACTGTTTGGAAATCACTTCTGTGGTGGCATAGCTCCAATTCTCCTTCTCAGCACATATTGCTGCATTTATAGTTGCAAGAGCCTCAGCTATGACTTTTAAAAGTGCTAGGCTCTTGGATGGTTCGTGCTCCTCAAAGTAGGTAGGTTATATTCCCTATTATCTTTTGTTTTTTGTTTTGGGTAAGTTCTATTCCCTATTTTCTCTTGTGTTGTGTTAAACGATTTTGTACGTAACAATTGTTTCGTAAAACAGTTGTGTATATATCAGACAGGACTTAATAGAGTAATAGAAATACAATATCCAGCACTGGCTTGACTGTCTCTTTATCAGCCTCTTGGTAAGAAAGCCTGCATCAATAATTACCTTCTTACATAACCCTGAAATTGAACTAATTACATGGAAAACACCCCTACATGCAAACACACAAACACGCAACAAGAGAGAGAGAGATGAAATGGTAATCATTCATTATGTTTCCCACTTATTATCAGCTGCAGTATATTTTTATTAAAGAATCAGCCAGATAAGCTTCTCCAGCACATCCCTGCTAAGCAACCTCAATTGGAACAATGCCTTGACCTACTTGCCACATACATACATACAAGGGCATAGAAACAAAATTACACGATTGGGCTTCCTTGTGGAAACAATGCCAAACTTTCAGCTGGTCCTTTATGAACACAGAAAAAACAACAAAAAGAGAAGAAAAAATGGGGGAAAAAACCTCTTTCAATGATGGGTTGTTTGAACAAATTGTTTGCTTCCTCCTCCCTCCATTCTCCTCATAATTGGCTTTGTAGCACAACTCAAAGAATATATCCACAAGCAAATCTAATTTACAGCTTCAAAGAAAAGGACCTCAGGTTGTATGTAACCTTTTCCACACGTGCAAAGGACATCATCCCAACTCCCAATAACCTATTGGAATCAAATAAAAATTACACAGCCACTGTTAGATACTGTAAATAGATGCAATCCAGGAACCAAAGTGAATGTACCTTCACATTCTTGTCCTCAAACATAATCCATCTTTCATGCTCATGGTTGTAAGCAAAGCAGATGAAGTGAGGCCCATAGTAGCAAACCTAAATACAAGAGAGATATTAGTAAAAATGAAAAACGGGCCTTGGAACCCAAGGTCAAGTTTGCATGAAAATAATGAATACAAAATCGGCAACAGACAAAGGGTCAGCTGCTGTAGAAAACAAAGAAGACAATCTCAAAGAGAAAAGAATAAACGTCGATACCAATAGCAATTGTGGAATAGAAGCTAACAGTTTTGACAAGAGTAGGAGGAGCATGGTGTCCACCACTGTCCCACTTTGCCTAATTTAATGCAGTTAGACAGAGATGAATTTTATGTGCTTGGATGGTCGGAACTGTCAGACATACATGGAGCAGGAGCTTTACAGTTTTGCTGAGAAATTAAGACAGTACGCCCCTGTCTAGATCCATTTTCTGTTATCCCTCCTCCTCTAGTTTCATGTTTTGATTTTGCAGAATCTGAATACTCTAATGTCTTTTGAGTTCCTTTTACACTTTCCGATATCACTATCATGTAAATTCCACAGAAGGGCAGCTAAACTGGATGCNGCACATCCCTGCTAAGCAACCTCAATTGGAACAATGCCTTGACCTACTTGCCACATACATACATACAAGGGCATAGAAACAAAATTACACGATTGGGCTTCCTTGTGGAAACAATGCCAAACTTTCAGCTGGTCCTTTATGAACACAGAAAAAACAACAAAAAGAGAAGAAAAAATGGGGGAAAAAACCTCTTTCAATGATGGGTTGTTTGAACAAATTGTTTGCTTCCTCCTCCCTCCATTCTCCTCATAATTGGCTTTGTAGCACAACTCAAAGAATATATCCACAAGCAAATCTAATTTACAGCTTCAAAGAAAAGGACCTCAGGTTGTATGTAACCTTTTCCACACGTGCAAAGGACATCATCCCAACTCCCAATTACCTATTGGAATCAAATAAAAATTACACAGCCACTGTTAGATACTGTAAATAGATGCAATCCAGGAACCAAAGTGAATGTACCTTCACATTCTTGTCCTCAAACATAATCCATCTTTCATGCTCATGGTTGTAAGCAAAGCAGATGAAGTGAGGCCCATAGTAGCAAACCTAAATACAAGAGAGATATTAGTAAAAATGAAAAACGGGCCTTGGAACCCAAGGTCAAGTTTGCATGAAAATAATGAATACAAAATCGGCAACAGACAAAGGGTCAGCTGCTGTAGAAAACAAAGAAGACAATCTCAAAGAGAAAAGAATAAACGTCGATACCAATAGCAATTGTGGAATAGAAGCTAACAGTTTTGACAAGAGTAGGAGGAGCATGGTGTCCACCACTGTCCCACTTTGCCTAATTTAATGCAGTTAGACAGAGATGAATTTTATGTGCTTGGATGGTCGGAACTGTCATACATACATGGAGCAGGAGCTTTACAGTTTTGCTGAGAAATTAAGACAGTATGCCCCTTTCTAGATCCATTTTCTGTTATCCCTCCTCTTCTAGTTTCATGTTTTGATTTTGTAGAATCTGAATACTCTAATCTCTTTTGAGTTCCTTTTACACTTTCCGATATCACTATCATGTAAATTCCACANTCATCGATCTGCCAAATGTTTAATGAGCTTCTCTCGGCAAGGATGTAATAAATGCCCAGTCATGGAGACATTTATTACCTTTCACTTCTAAGCCTTCCTGCATTAAATGATGTTTTATCAAGGGAATGATGCACTAAATGCTTGTTTTCTCAAGTCATGTGTCAGCAAGGGCATCTCGGTCTTTTTGTCTCTAATCTGACACAATATGGCACGCGCTCATTCCCCATTAGTTGTGTCTTCTGCCTTCTTGTGCCTTCTGACAATAATTGTGTAAGACGAGGTTATGATGGCTAACCTAGCCTAACCTAGGCTAGTGACCTGTACATCAATAGCCTCTATAGGAGCAGAGAACGTCATCCTGAACGGGTACATCTCGGTACCGAGGGAATGGTACATATAGGGATCGATGTACTCATATCCGACCGAAGGATACGTGTCGGTACGTAAACGTATTGGGTGTCATTGATCCTTATGAACAGTACCTCGGGGAAAGAGGGACTTGTGAACAGACGGGTACGTGTCGTGATCACAGTAACAAGGATTTACTGATGCCGAGGACACGTATCTTCATCTTAGAGTATTTGGAAATATCCCATCAATTGGTATTCAGTGGTTCTCTGCCACTAGTGGTTACGTCCTATGTATTTATTAAGGTTTTTGATTTGATCAACCATGAGAGCATGAACTACTGTTTGGAAATCACTTCTGTGGTGGCATAGCTCCAATTCTCCTTCTCAGCACATATTGCTGCATTTATAGTTGCAAGAGCCTCAGCTATGACTTTTAAAAGTGCTAGGCTCTTGGATGGTTCGTGCTCCTCAAAGTAGGTAGGTTATATTCCCTATTATCTTTTGTTTTTTGTTTTGGGTAAGTTCTATTCCCTATTTTCTCTTGTGTTGTGTTAAACGATTTTGTACGTAACAATTGTTTCGTAAAACAGTTGTGTATATATCAGACAGGACTTAATAGAGTAATAGAAATACAATATCCAGCACTGGCTTGACTGTCTCTTTATCAGCCTCTTGGTAAGAAAGCCTGCATCAATAATTACCTTCTTACACAACCCTGAAATTGAACTAATTACATGGAAAACACCCCTACATGCAAACACACAAACACGCAACAAGAGAGAGAGAGAGAGATGAAAGAATCAACCTGATAAGCTACGTTTCCCACTTATTATCAGCTGCAGTATATTTTTATTAAAGAATCAACCTGATAAGCTTCTCCTGCACATCCCTGCTAAGCAACCTCAATTGGAACAATGCCTTGACCTACTTGCCACATACATACATACAAGGGCATAGAAACAAAATTACACGATTGGGCTTCCTTGTGGAAACAATGCCAAACTTTCAGCTGGTCCTTTATGAACACAGAAAAAACGACAAAAAAAGAAGAAAAAAGAGTGGGGAAAAAATCTCTTTCAATGATGGGTTGTTTGAACAAATTGTTTGCTTCCTCCTCCCTCCATTCTCCTCATAATTGGCTTTGTAGCACAACTCAAAGAATATATCCACAAGCAAATCTAATTTACAGCTTCAAAGAAAAGGACCTCAGGTTGTATGTAACCTTTTCCACACGTGCAAAGGACATCATCCCAACTCCCAATTACCTATTGGAATCAAATAAAAATTACACAGCCACTGTTAGATACTGTAAATAGATGCAATCCAGGAACCAAAGTGAATGTACCTTCACATTCTTGTCCTCAAACATAATCCATCTTTCATGCTCATGGTTGTAAGCAAAGCAGATGAAGTGAGGCCCATAGTAGCAAACCTAAATACAAGAGAGATATTAGTAAAAATGAAAAACGGGCCTTGGAACCCAAGGTCAAGTTTGCATGAAAATAATGAATACAAAATCGGCAACAGACAAAGGGTCAGCTGCTGTAGAAAACAAAGAAGACAATCTCAAAGAGAAAAGAATAAACGTCGATACCAATAGCAATTGTGGAATAGAAGCTAACAGTTTTGACAAGAGTAGGAGGAGCATGGTGTCCACCACTGTCCCACTTTGCCTAATTTAATGCAGTTAGACAGAGATGAATTTTATGTGCTTGTATGGTCGGAACTGTCAGACATACATGGAGCAGGAGCTTTACAGTTTTGCTGAGAAATTAAGACAGTACGCCCCTGTCTAGATCCATTTTCTGTTATCCCTCCTCCTCTAGTTTCATGTTTTGATTTTGCAGAATCTGAATACTCTAATGTCTTTTGAGTTCCTTTTACACTTTCCGATATCACTATCATGTAAATTCCACAGAAGGGCAGCTAAACTGGATGCAAGCAATGTACATGAGAAACATGAGAAAGGGGCCAGTTTCTAGACTCGATGCATACATATTGCTTGCATCCAGTCTCGTTACAAGCTCGTACATGAGCAACTGGTCTCTTTGATTCAAAAGTTAGTGGATCCAGCCCAAGAGGCTGTGAAAATAGCTTTAGCTTGAAAGGTGAATAACCAGACCTTAAGCTATTATAAATACAATATGAACTGTGGATGTATGGGGTGGAACCAGTGTCTCTTAAGCTACTAAATGCTAAATATAAGCAGTAGATGTACAAGGTGTAACCAGTTTTTCTGTCAAAATATTCAACCTCTTTTTGCCCTTTCTTTCCATTCAAGTGTCTTAAAGGTCATTTAAGCTAACATTCTCACACCAAGAACTTAAAATTAGCACATCAATTTCGCTATTACTTCAAAGTTTCAAACAAAGAGTTAACTGTCAAAATGGGAACTTCAAAGAATGTGCATGCACATATGCGCACATTGAGATCTATCAGCAACATCCAAATATCATCGTTGTAATTAGAAAATTGAATTTTACGCTTCACAACAGAAGGGAGTACAATAAGATGAGGGGTGCAAGGAAGCAAAAGAAATCACATAGTAAATATAGCCAATTTTCTATGCAGAGTATTTCTTAATTCAATAAGTTATAATGGAGAGAACAATATTTTTATCTTACATCTTGGTACAATGATGTTCCTTTGTTAATGCCGCAAAAACAGAAATTAAAGACAAACAATGATTAATAACATTTAATAACTCAAGTCTGAATAAAAAACCTTACATCAACTCCTTTATATGGGCAAACCTAATTCCAAAACCAAGAAATAAATCTATAATAACTATCCAATCCCAACACGATCCTCATCAGTGGTACACTTCGGCAAAATGGTACTCAACTGTAAGTGATCAAAGAGTTATGCTAGCTATACACCATTGTCTCCAGCCATGTTTATGCCAATTTGGCATCCATATCAACCCAAAACCTTGACTTGGGAAGCCAAGTGCAGAGACTAACAGTATAAAAGACTATGGTCAATAGAAAAACCAGGGTTCCCCGTGAATTCTCAATAGCACAAGGACAGCTACATGACACATCCCTACAAACTGATTCTCACACCTCATGGGGAAGTCAAACGTTAGATTGGCACACCATGGCCATCCACATCCTGGACAACATTACATAAACCCTGTTTTTAAGCAGCCAACCCCCCCCCCCCCCCCCCCCCCCCCCCCCCCCCCCCCCCCCCCCCCCCCCCCCCCCCCCCACCGNCCCCCCCCCCCCCCCCCCCAAAACAAAAAAAAGAAGTAAATAAGTGATATAGTAAAGTTCCACACCATGCAGGCATCTTGTTTCATATGGTATTACAAAGTAATTTGAACAATAAGAATTTTCATCACCTTTCACCTGTAATGATTACTAATATATCCAGATGCTAAAAATATAGCAGATCCAACTTACCATCGAAACAAGGCTGTGTTTGTCTCCCTGATCTAAACCTTGATACAAGACGCCAATATCTATATCTGTATTCAGAGCCGTCATTGTTGCTAACATATCATCAGCACTCTCACTGGCTGTCTTCCAATCAATAACTGCAATGCCCAGACCAGAAACAACTAAGCACTGATGAATGCAAGAATGACAGATACCAGACAACTTGGCACTTACCAACAGTGAAAACATGTGGACGAGTTGAAAGAACACGATTGATATGATTTAATGTTCCACATCCATGAAACTCTGGTTTGCAAACGAATTGACTATCGTCATCAACTGCGAGCAGGTTTAAAAGTTCATCAAAACGGCTATTCACACGCATAATCTGGTTGGGAAGAAAAGAATCAACTTTTAACAGGCATGTCTAACATAGCACAGCAATTTTGCTTATGCAACTTTCTCTTTCTGTAAAGAAATCTGTCACATATTATCAAAGCAATAGTCGCGAGTAACAAACCTTTGCCTTTCTGAGTTCATTTGCGCTTATGTTTAGAACATAACAATGCCGGTGGTTAAATCCATTCAGAAGACCACATTTACGACAGTCAAATCTTTCTATTATGTCCAATCCGAAAATGGTATGTACTATACACTTGCTTGCACCACCAAACACTTCGCACTTTCTCTCTTCCGATTTGGCATCAGAAACAGTAAGATTATAAGTAAATGACTCATGAAGACAACCCCATATCTTTTCCAACACCACCAAAGCATCACCCGCTTGTCCCTGTAAACAATGTATAGAAGTTCAAGTTGGCAAGTTCATACTCCAAGAGAGATAGAGAAAGAGAGAATGAAAATGTTGGTACAAATTCTTGCACAACTCAAGGATTTCGGCTCGTCGATGTGGGACGGAGCTCTGCACGGACACTGAGAGGTAAAGGCTACTGGGTGGTCGCTTTGGCACACGCCAGGTTTTGTACCAATTTTTTGTTGGTACAAATTCTTGCACAACTCAAGGATTCGAGCTGACTTGGCGTGTGCCAAAGCGACCACCCAGTAGCCTTTACCTCTCAGTGCCCATGCAGAATTCCATCCCACATCGACTAAGAGTCGTCTCTCCCACCCCATTATAAGTCTGAGTCCCTTAGGGATGGGTACCCACTAGGCACTTGATCAGGTCGCTAGTGGGTACCCATGCCTAAGGGGCTCAGGCTTATAAGGGGGTCGGGAAGGCGACTCTCAGTCCATGTGGGACGGAGCTCTGCACGGGCACTGAGAGGTAAAGGCTACTAGGTGGTCGCTTCGCCAGGTCAGCCGAAATCCTTGAGTTGTGCAAGAATTTGTACCAACAGAAAACACCATGAAATTCCTGGGAACATGCCTCCTGCAAGGAGATATCATCAGGGTACAAAATGTTCAAAGTGATTCTTATAGAGGTCGGGCCAACAGCTCTTTGTCTATCTGTGTGGGGCATGCTTAAGGCCTCAAAGATCTGATGTAAAGCACAGAAAACACAAGGATCTCCAACATGCACATGTCCTGGTAGACACAAAAACTCATCTCGGAAATGTCTCAAATGCCAGAGAGACTGCAGATTTCACAGAGACTAAAAGTTCAGGACTAAAAGGAAATGGAAAAGGTGAGCACTTATTCTTAGATCATAGAAACATAAATAACTAATCACTATTAAATTCCAACCTGTATGGTTGCATTTAAAAAGCAATTGTTTTCACCAGGATCATTTCTCATCCCTGTCCCAAAGTAAGTATCCAATTCATCCATATTTTTGGTAGTGACATCAGTAGACAAGACCCCAATGTCTGTTTTCTCTTCTTCTAATGTCTCTGAAAAAAAAAAAACTAACCAGTAAGGCAAAGCTCCGTGCAGTAATTTTACAGTTTGAATCTCTCTTTGTTGAGGACATTCATGTAAAGTACATGCTTCCTCGTTCATCGTTTTTGAAGGAATCTACTGATTTACTTTGAATTTTTTGGTGCGGAAGACTTGGTCTCTTCCATATGCAGTTCTCCCCTCCCACTTTACCCACTTCATGTAAATGATTTTCCAATATCTTTTATTAAGTTGCTTTCAAATAAATATAAAACGACGTTCAAGAAGAGTTTGCAGGCAAGACCTTTGATGAAGGATACCCCAGTATGTGAATATATGAACCAAGGATTAAAATTTCACTTTGGAGCAAAGTTTCGCCTAACTTGTAAATAAAAATGTTTCATAAACAGAATAAAAACAAAGAAATTATTTTGAAAAATTATTTCCAAAACAGTGATGAAATATTTCACAACATCATGAAATGAAAAAACATGAACAACAAATATGGTAAATCTGAATTTTCCATGTGTGGCAGTTGTTGGCGTCTNATAAGTAATCTCTATTAAATTCCAACCTGTATGGTTGCATTTAAAAAGCAATTGTTTTCACCAGGATCATTTCTCATCCCTGTCCCAAAGTATGTATCCAATTCATCCATATTTTTGGTAGTGACATCAGTAGACAAGACCCCAATGTCTGTTTTCTCTTCTTCTAATGTCTCTGAAAAAAAAAAAACTAACCAGTAAGGCAAAGCTCCGTGCAGTAATTTTACAGTTTGAATCTCTCTTTGTTGAGGACATTCATGTAAAGTACATGCTTCCTCGTTCATCGTTTTTGAAGGAATCTACTGATTTACTTTGAATTTTTTGGTGCGGAAGACTTGGTCTCTTCCATATGCAGTTCTCCCCTCCCACTTTACCCACTTCATGTAAATGATTTTCCAATATCTTTTATTAAGTTGCTTTCAAATAAATATAAAACGACGTTCAAGAAGAGTTTGCAGGCAAGACCTTTGATGAAGGATACCCCAGTATGTGAATATATGAACCAAGGATTAAAATTTCACTTTGGAGCAAAGTTTCGCCTAACTTGTAAATAAAAATGTTTCATAAACAGAATAAAAACAAAGAAATTATTTTGAAAAATTATTTCCAAAACAGTGATGAAATATTTCACAACATCATGAAATGAAAAAACATGAACAACAAATATGGTAAATCTGAATTTTCCATGTGTGGCAGTTGTTGGCGTCTATCTAATTGTGATGTGGGAGTGAATTTTTAAGAGAAGGAAACTACAGGTCTGATGAGAGAGACATGGCCAAAACTGGATTGTCCAATATAGTGGACAACTATAGGATCAGATTGCCCAATATGTCTAAACAAATAGCTACAGGATTTAATGATCCAGTGATACATTCTTATATGATGCCCATCAAAACTAAAAAATTAATGGATAGTCAAAATCGGAGAAACATGTACAACGGAAAAGATAATGCACCATATTTGATTAACAAGAGATATATGTGAGTGAAAGGGTTGCTCAAACTAAGAGTAAAGTCCCGTATATATAGTCAAATAATAATACAAAGTAACCTAAACATCCTTATCGGGAAAAGAAACCCTAATAAACAAGACTATATTTCAACACTCCCCCTCAAGTTAGGCGCAAAAACATCAACTAAGCCAAACTTGACAATGGAGTCCCGAAGAATAGATAGAGTGACAGGTTTGGTGAAAACATCCGCAACCTGATCACTGGTCCCCACAAACAATGAAGTGACAATACCACAACGAACTTTCTCCTAAAAAAAGTGAACATCGATCTCTATATGCTTCATCTTCTCGTGTAATACAGAGTCAGAAGCAAGCTGAATAGCAGATCGATTATCACAATATAATGTAGATGAAGAAATCATTGAAAATCCCAACTCACCAAGAATCGATCGTAGTCATATAATCTCAAATGTGCCAAGTGTCAGTGCCTGATACTCTACNAATGCCAGAGAGACTGCAGATTTCACAGAGACTAAAAGTTCAGGACTAAAAGGAAATGGAAAAGGTGAGCACTTATTCTTAGATCATAGAAACATAAATAACTAATCACTATTAAATTCCAACCTGTATGGTTGCATTTAAAAAGCAATTGTTTTCACCAGGATCATTTCTCATCCCTGTCCCAAAGTATGTATCCAATTCATCCATATTTTTGGTAGTGACATCAGTAGACAAGACCCCAATGTCTGTTTTCTCTTCTTCTAATGTCTCTGAAAAAAAAAAAACTAACCAGTAAGGCAAAGCTCCGTGCAGTAATTTTACAGTTTGAATCTCTCTTTGTTGAGGACATTCATGTAAAGTACATGCTTCCTCGTTCATCGTTTTTGAAGGAATCTACTGATTTACTTTGAATTTTTTGGTGCGGAAGACTTGGTCTCTTCCATATGCAGTTCTCCCCTCCCACTTTACCCACTTCATGTAAATGATTTTCCAATATCTTTTATTAAGTTGCTTTCAAATAAATATAAAACGACGTTCAAGAAGAGTTTGCAGGCAAGACCTTTGATGAAGGATACCCCAGTATGTGAATATATGAACCAAGGATTAAAATTTCACTTTGGAGCAAAGTTTCGCCTAACTTGTAAATAAAAATGTTTCATAAACAGAATAAAAACAAAGAAATTATTTTGAAAAATTATTTCCAAAACAGTGATGAAATATTTCACAACATCATGAAATGAAAAAACATGAACAACAAATATGGTAAATCTGAATTTTCCATGTGTGGCAGTTGTTGGCGTCTATCTAATTGTGATGTGGGAGTGAATTTTTAAGAGAAGGAAACTACAGGTCTGATGAGAGAGACATGGCCAAAACTGGATTGTCCAATATAGTGGACAACTATAGGATCAGATTGCCCAATATGTCTAAACAAATAGCTACAGGATTTAATGATCCAGTGATACATTCTTATATGATGCCCATCAAAACTAAAAAATTAATGGATAGTCAAAATCGGAGAAACATGTACAACGGAAAAGATAATGCACCATATTTGATTAACAAGAGATATATGTGAGTGAAAGGGTTGCTCAAACTAAGAGTAAAGTCCCGTATATATAGTCAAATAATAATACAAAGTAACCTAAACATCCTTATCGGGAAAAGAAACCCTAATAAACAAGACTATATTTCAACACTCCCCCTCAAGTTAGGCGCAAAAACATCAACTAAGCCAAACTTGACAATGGAGTCCCGAAGAATAGATAGAGTGACAGGTTTGGTGAAAACATCCGCAACCTGATCACTGGTCCCCACAAACAATGAAGTGACAATACCACAACGAACTTTCTCCTAAAAAAAGTGAACATCGATCTCTATATGCTTCATCTTCTCGTGTAATACAGAGTCAGAAGCAAGCTGAATAGCAGATCGATTATCACAATATAATGTAGATGAAGAAATCATTGAAAATCCCAACTCACCAAGAATCGATCGTAGTCATATAATCTCAAATGTGCCAAGTGTCAGTGCCTGATACTCTACCTCTGCTGACGAACGAGAGACAACTGCCTGCTTCTTGCTCTTCCAAGAGATAAGATGAGTCCCTCAAAAAGCACAGAAGCCCGTAGTAGATCGACCGTCACATGCTCCCCCATAATCTGAATCTGAATAACAGGCTAGAGAACCAGTCTGAGATCCTGATGCATGAAACAACCCAAGTCCAAGACAAGACTTAAGGTATCGAAGAATATGATGAACTGCATCAAGATGAGGCTGACACGGCCTGTGCATGAACTGACTAACTCGGCTGAAAGCGAATAAAATGTCTGGCTTAGTGTTGGCTAGGTAGATAAGTCTACCTACCAACCTCTGATAAACAGTTGGATCTCCCAACTCCTCACCTTCAACAGTAAGCTTCAGATTTGGAATCATAGGTGATGATGTCGGTTTGCACCCCAATATCGCAGTGTCTGAGAGAAGATACAAAACATACTTTTTCTGAGAAAAAATAATACCCCTGCTGCTAGCTGAACCTGTGTATGTAACTGTTCATCAAAAGTGGTGAAGTGATGGGTTCGCACCCGAGTCTAACATCCAAATGGGAGACGAACTGGCGCAAGCATGAAAGGCACGAGGTATACTTGTAGTGGTGACAGTAGCAGTAGTCGGACCCTGAGAAGTCAGGGCAGACATAAGTATATCCAATCGAGAAATGATAGCATCCATATAATTCTGTCAAGGAGGAGCAGCAGCAGGAACAACGACAGTAGGTGGTGGTACCTCAACAATAGCAGCAGTACGATTGCGAGGAAACAGTTTAAGCTCCGAATAGAGCTCCCAACAAGTAGCCCTGAGATGGCCTGGTCGGCCACAATAATTACACTGACGAGAACCAGGAGGTACATTCCAAGGGAAAGTACTAACAGCAGAGATCTCAAATCCCTCAATAGTAGCCATAATAATAACAATAAGTGGGATCTTGTCTCTTTACCTTCAGGGGTGAAGCCTGTTGGCTGTTGTTGGGTTTACAACCTAAAATTTCTTGCGGATGGTATTATTGATCGTCACAAGGCCAGACTTATGGCGAATGACTTTACTCAAGTACCAGGTCGTGATTTTTGTGCTACCTTTGCTCCCGTGGCAAAATTGACTATTGTTTGATTGATTATTTCTTTGACTGCGGAGTACTCTTGGCCTCTTCATCAGTTAGATATGAAGAATATATTTCTTCACGGTAATCTGGATGAGATTATTTATATGAATGCACCACCAGACTTTTGTGGTGAGGGGGAGTATACTGGAAAGGCATGTCGACTGCGTAAGTTTCTTTATGGACTGAAACAGTCACCACAAGCCTGGTTCTCTCGCTTTAGTGATGTAGTTGTACGTTTAGGATTTACTGGATGTCATTCTGATCATACTTGCTTCATTCGACGAAATACTTCTGGACAGTGTGTCATCCTTTTGGTATATGTTGATGATATTATTATTACTGGAGATGATGTTTTTGGGACTGTACATGTCAAAATAGACCTTGGGAAGGTTTTCGATGTGAAGGACCTTGGATTTCTGCGATCCTTTCTTGGGATTGAGGTTGCCCGTAGCAGCTGGGGTATTGTTCTTGGGTGAACTAAGGTGGTGGGTAGCTGGGTTTTGCTGATGGGAGGCTAAATGCAAGTCGTTTCATTGATGGGTCGCTGGGTTTATGGGTTGCTGTCGGTGATGGTTTGTTGGGTTGATTTGTGTTGATTTTTCGATGTTGGTATATGTTATAGGTGGTCTGGACAGTGGGCTTGGCTGGGCAGTCGGTGGTTATAGGAAGTCTGGGCAGCGGGCTTAGTGAAGTATGTTGTTTCGGCACTGAGACGACTTCGCTGGTTCGGTTGTTGTTTGAGTGGTGGCTGCTTGGTGTGGTTACTGGGCAGTCGATGGTTATAGGTTGGACTAGGATGCTTGCTGGTAAGTGATTGGTGGCTAGTTGCTGATGCAATATGGAGGAGGGCAGCGACTGGGTCTGTTTGGTTATGGCGATTGGCAAAGGCTAGGGTTAGGATTAGGGTCAGGATTAATGGCTCTGATACCAACAAGAGATATATGTGAGTGAAAGGGTTAATCAAACTAAGAGTAAAGTCCCGTATATATAGTCAAATAATAATACAAAGTGACCTAAACATCCTTATGTTTTAGGCAAAATATAAAGTTATAGTAAGGATTAAAAAGGGAAAGAAACCCTTATAAACAAGACTATATTTCAACATATTACACGAGAGCTTAGAAGTTTTAATTTATCATCAGACGAGTCATGCATTAATTTCTTTCTTTCTTTTTTGAGTTTCGGAAATTTTACCAAATTTGATGCAATATATGCAAACACATATCGTAAGATGTTATTTTTCTAAAACCTAGAAACAGGCCTCACGACTGCAAAACAAGAACAGACTCCGCTATGAATAAACATCAGGTTAAATTGAAAGATCATTTGCTCTCTCTCTCTCTCTCTCTCAATGTTCGAGCAAATCAAAAAGATATATTTCTTTCCATTTAAAAATAAAAGTTGCAGATAATGGGAGATAATGTTGAGTCATTGAACCAACGCACAAAAGAAAGTAAAAGAAAAAAAGAAAAACAGTTTACCGAGCAAATCGTTCTGTGTCATTGGTGACTGTAAACAATTATTAGAAATAATCTTAAAGGAAGAAAAAAATACATGGAGCACCAAAAAGAGAATTATCTTGAGTCTAAACAAAAGTATCGTAAGTGTACAATGTGTAACTGATTCATATCATGAAGTATTGCAAGTGCACAATGTGTAACTGATTCATAACATGAAGTATCGCAAATAATCAGCACATTCAAAGTACGAATACAAAAATAGCAAAGAAGGGGACGATGCTTTTCCATTATTGATATGCACTTGAGAAACCTCATTCAGAAGTGCATCCTAATGACAAACAAAATGCTTACGTGATTGATTCCAAATTTCGCAAACAATGAGCACCTTCTATGTATTAAAGAAACATTAATTGGAGTGAAACAATGTAAGCAGTAATAGTACTTACAGTTGCTACAATGAATATTATCTTGATCCAAGCTTGCACTTTGGTGCAGCTCCCATATGGTGTCACTCTACTTCATCCTCATCATGCTCAATTGGAGAGGATCCAGAAATCCCATCACACGTTCAAAAATGATTGAGTGTAATTCAGGAAGAACTGAAGAAGATCCTTCATTTTGCAGGACCATGGAAGTTTTAAGAGCAACCTAACCTCTTTCAAGAGTTCACAATAGGACTGTCTGAATCAGACAAAGCTTTTGCGCAAGGAAGACAGATAGTCAATGCAGCCCATATGCAAATAATTGCTTTGACTCGAGACTGCAGGAAGCAGTTCGAAGAAACTGGACATTGAGAAGGCCTACATGAACGCGAGTTTGGTCCTCTATATTTACATGTTGACAAGCATTTTTGAAAATAATTTGAATAAATAGTTTTTATTTCTTAGACTCTTGGTGCTCGTATAGACTTTCTGATGTCTTTTTCAAACACTAAGACAGTGACCTTTGAATTTGTTATTTTTGGTCATGATAATAATGACATTCAAGAGGATGGTGGGATAGAGTGTGGAATGCAAGATGATTATGTGATTGGGGATGATTGATTAGCAATCTCGTATGTTTCTTGCTCCATTTTAAGGCAGTCTCAACTTCAAGTAATAAAAATCGATCCCAGCAAAAGTGAGCTTATCCTGTTTGGAAAGGTAGAGAAAATTCAACCTTGGCGAGGAGTTTAGGATGTTAAGTGGACTCTCTCCCTTCCACCTAAGTGAGTCTCCCACAAGGATTTAAGTAATAAGAATATAAGATACTGAATCTCATTTGAAGAGAAAATAAAGGCAGCTAGCAAAAGGTGGTTGAGAACTCTCTTTCAAAAGGGGAGGACTTAGCCTGCTGGAATTTTCAAAGCACTGTATGTCTCTGTCCACTATTTCAGCCTCAGCTAAGAGAAGGCTGAAGAATACATTCAGAAATGCTCTCTATCAAAAGGCTTACAAAGAGATTCAGATTTCAATAAGTGGAGTGGAAGCTAGCATGCTCCCCAGTTGAAGTTTTGGTGGTATTGAGTCCTCTAAAGAACACAACTAAGGAGGTATGTGATAGAAGAGTCCGTGATGTAAATTATAGCAGATAGATATGGCAATGGTTGACAGGAAAACATCAAAAGAGGCCATATCCTACCCTGGGGATCAGCCTATGGTAAACCATATTGAGAAGCTGGGGAGGATTGTCTCAAAACATCTGGGGAATGGTAAGAGAATTAGCTTTGGGCACAATGTTGCCTGTATTCTCCCAAGAAGCATTCTCCTGACCTATTTTATAACATACTACGCGAGTCATTCAGGACGAAGTGTAATGTAGAACCCCAGATCCTGGGGTATCTGTTTTCAAGGTGGAGAGTTGCAGCAGTAGTCTGAGGTAAGTTCCAGGAAGAAAAGGGAGGAAATTGTGAGGTCAAAATATGCATGAAGTGGATTTCCTTCTAGCCTTTTTAAAGGCGAGCACTGCAGCTTTGGAGGCAATTCTAGCAATGAAAATTCAGAGGTGCAAAGGCAACATTAAGTAAACCACTGTTGTAAGTGCAAAGAAGTAGAGAAGATTGGTCAATAACTTGACCTTGCACTGTGATAGCTTTTGGGGGTGGGGCTGGGGGCCGCTTTACTTCTATCCTTATCTGATGTGAGCTGATTAAGGCATTTCCCATTGGCCACCCTGTTTCCCATATGCCTACGAAAAATATTGGGACGAAGGGCGACGGCATCGTTGCATTAATGGAATAGATAGAGAGGCAGTCTTTTAAGTGTGAACAGATCCTACTGCGCAGTTAAGGATATCCTTGAAGTATGATATTTTTGGGAGTAAAAAGATAGACCAGAGGAGTGTTAGTTCTTTTATATAATTATTGAGCATTTATTGCTATCTTTTTGAGTCAAGTGATTCTTCTTATAATCTGTGCAAACTCTGTTTTTTAGTGGTTTTATAGCATTATTATCCCAAAAATTATTGTTATTGGGTATTTTAGCTGTTCATCCAGATACATTGCCTTCCAGTCTGTCGATAAGAAGACCATATAACACCTTCATGAGTTTCAGAGTATGCAAAACTGCACAACAAAAGACATAACTTAGAGCACATTTCCCATTAAAAAAAAACTTAAAATGTGGCAAAACAAAATTTAGTTTCTACCTAAAATTATCTGTCAAAACAGAAGTTTTACATGCTAGTAGTGGACACAGTCACCAATGTTCCATTTTGTTATGAACAAAGAGCGTAAGATAAATCAAAGCAACTTCCCTAAAAGAACAGAAATGGTAATATATTTCCTTGCATATAACTACACTAGTGAACTTTATATCAGGTTATGTGGAAGTAATTGTGCAAAATAAACATGGGGAGTAAACCAATGATAAAGATAATAGTATGCAGACCAAGTTACTAGCAACCACTTGTGCTTCTGCCTAACTTGAGAGGTTGGGCATCCAAAAAAGGTGTCATGCCTAAATGCTTGAAATCCAAATTCTATGCAAGGAGAAAGATCATATGTCGAGATAATTTTACTGAAAGATTGCTTACCAGTCTTGACTCTGCCTTGAGAGCAACTTCTCCCTTCAGTCCATTCACCAGAAACCTGGGAGGAGACAGTTCCCTCCAACTTGTTCAAAGGAACACCAGCAAAATCTTTTGGCATTAGAGGTTCAATCAACAATGTCTCCGCCACCTCTGGTGCTCTTGCATCAGATGTTTTGTTTTGCTCAGCAAGCTGCTTTTGTTTAGCCTCATTCTCAATTTCTCTTTGATGCTCCAAATTATCTTCAACCATTCTTTCCTCAGCTTCAAGTTGGAGATTATACCTATGTTCAAATTCCTGGTCTATAATTTCATCAGAACTTACAGAAGCACCAATCTGAGAATCTGGGTAATCGCCTTGAGAGCAACTTGTCCCTTCAGTCCTTCCACCAGAAACCTGGGAGGAGACCTTAGTTCCCTCCAACTTGTTCATAGGAACACCAGCAAAATCTTTGGGCATTTGAGGTTCAATTGACAATGATTCCGTCACCTCTGGTGCTATTGCATCAGCTGTTTTGTTTTGCTCAGCAAGCTGCTTCTGTTTAGCCTCATTCTCAATTTGTCTTTGACGCTCCAAATTCTCTTCAAGCATTCTTTCCTCAGCTTCAAGTTGGAGTTTGTACTTATGTTGACTTCCGGGTCTAAAATCTCATAAGTACTTACAGAAGCACCTATCTAAGAATCTGGGTAATTGCCATGAGGAAAGTAACTGGAGAAACACAAAAGCTAAAACTACATTAATAGGATTACAATTAGACCCAGGATTATATTGGAGAGAAGGGCATAATCTTATATTAAATAGTTTTCAGTGTAATTCAGCTGGTGATAGGAAAAAAAGGCTCACGCTTGTGCTGTATCTGTCTCTTGTAGCATGTGTTTCGACTTGCCACTAGCAGCCTGCAATGCTATGAAAACATTATACTAACTGATACAAACAACGAACAACATCTACCACTGTGAAACAGAAAACATATCAAAAAACCAGACTTGGAAACATTAAGACCTTGGAATCCTTGGCCTTTCTGTAGTATTTTTTCTTTTTCTTGTCCTTCAACTTTCCCTCCATCCGTTTCACCTGATTGTATCCCTTGGTAGGATTCTTGCTGGCATCAGATTCAATCTCTGCTAACAATGCTGCCCGTGCAGCATCTGTCTTCCACAATGCATGTTTATGAACCAGATCCTCCACTTGTGCCTGGAAAAGAGCTCACATGAGAATTTTAAACCTATGGACTATAAATGCTGTAAAGGTTATAGGAAATAATGCAACACATAGAATACATACCCGCATGAATGACAGCAGAAGGGGTGCTACAATTAAACGGTAGTCGTGAACTGATACTTGTGCAAGTTGGAAATACAGATGCTGCATCTTGGTAAAAGTCCACAGGATATCCATATCAATTTCGAAATTCTGCAGGACAGAAATTAGTGAGAACCCCAGAACATTTCGTGAAGATGTTTTTTTCTTCAAAAGGGAAAAGGCAGAAAAGGAGGGGGGGGGGAACTCCCTCAAAACACTTAATTTTGACAAAATAATGTGGAATTCTAGAAATTATATGAGGAAAATTCACTTTGTAGAGAATTGCAAAGCACTTATATGCAATTGAATGATGTCATATTAACTAGAAAACTTGATAATGATAATATAGTCAGTAACATTCTGGTTGCCTACAGGCAAGACACCCACCTCTTGTGCACTCTGCTGCAATTGTACTAAAATTACATTTCTTATGCGATTGTCTTCTTGAAGCACATAATCCTGCATTATGCAGTCATCATTTTCAATACATTCAAAATCACAAAAGGTAGAAGTAGCAACTATCTGTTTTTCAGATCCAACCTCATTTACGTTCATAGCTTGAGGTACTTCATCTTCAAAAAATTTCCCCACAGCATAAAGCTCAGCTCTACTGTTATCGTCATCCCTGTCAACAAGTTCTTCTTGCCTCTTTTTCAAGAGGGACTCAAAAGTTTGAGGTATATAACTTGGTCCTTGCTCCCTTTTACTAAGTTCTTCAGTACAGATCCTTTTAATAGCCTGTAATGCTTCGCAGTGGATCAAATGCTCATTTCGTCTCAAACACTTGTTTTCTATCTCAGAAAATCTCATCTTAAGGATCAGATAAATCTCCATCCCTTGGCGAGTCTTACCATCTTTATTGCGTTTCCATGATGCTAGGTCATCTTCGATTGTAAAACCCGCAGCGAACAACCAATATATAAAACCATCACCATCTGCCAGAGCATCAACTTCATCATCACTAACAGCAAACATTGTCGCAGATGCATCATCCACGACAGCTTTAGGATATCTGTACAACGTAAGCTCAGCACGCAGTAAACTCTCATCCAAAAGGAAGCACAATGTTTCACCATGTAACACAATTCTTGCTCTGACTTCCCGTTCTTGATTGACATTCGACTCATCAGCTATCTGAGAATCCAAATCCTGCAAGGTATTAAGAATGATTTTCAGCTCAGAAGCCCCCAAAAATCAGATGCAGATGTGTGATTCATACAGACCATGGATCTGAAGTTGTGTAGCAGAAACATGCCATAGCAGCAAGTTCAGAGCATAGTGCTTCACTGCCATAAGATAGCTCAGAGCAACCCATTTATGTCGCAGACGCAACAGGAACTTGCTACGGATTCTTTCAAGGATATCTGCACGCTCAGAATGATCAGACAATGGCCAATTCTCATCATCCGGGTCTTTTGATTGATTTTCAATAATTCTGAATGCCTCGGAAGTATCCACAGGCATCCACGGACCATTTTGTAGCATCTCCAGAGAATGAGCATCAATTTCTTTAGGCAGGAATGCTTGCGACTTTCCTGATAAGTCCCCCACATGCCTCTGAATTAGATGATCAATAAGCGAGTCCATATCCCCAGATGCGTGTCCACATCCCCAGATGCGTGTCCACAAACGCAACATTCCCAGTACTTCCAAGTATGAGCCGCCTCAGCATAACAAATAGCGCCCAGGAAATCCTCTGCCGCCAAAACACTCTTGACTTCAGCGCAATGCACCCTAACATCGTTAATTCTTGGTCTGAGCAACCATCTCTTTTCCTCCACATTCATAGAGTTCCAAAACTCCAGAACCTTTCCAATCTTGCCCGTGTTTGACCTGATCATCTTCAAAGCAGCCTTTTTTTTTTTGCTGTTTTGGAGTTTGCCAAGCGGTCCAGTCAACCCAAAAGCGTCATCGTCAATATTTTGAACTGTCTCAGGCCTTTGCTGCAAAAGTCTCGCAGCTTCTACAAGAGCCTCGATTTTCTTCGTCTTCTCTTCAACAGTCTTGTACGCGTTCTTAATGTTTGTTAACAGATCCTCTTTAAACCCAGACGTCTCCTCCCCAACATCACCAGTTCCGACATTCTTCATCCCAGTCGCGATCAGCCCAATCTTTGCTTTATCCAAAGTCGACTTCAATTGTTCTTTCACAAATTCAAGCTCTTGTTGCGAAATTCTTTCAACTTGCGGTAAACTAAACAACGATAGGGCTCGCTCACATTCTTTCACAACTTCCTCGTAATCTTTAACGTTGCTCGACAATCGAAAAAGCAAACTCGCGCTCGTATGCGCTAACTTTATCGCGTTGGGCGACAGTGAGATGGCTTTCTCCTCAGAATCGAGAGCATTCTTCAAGGAATCTTGATAAGCGTCATAGTGTTCGATTTGAGTAGCGATTCTGGTGTGTATAGAGGCTTGAGTGTGGTGTACGAGAGCGGAGTTTTCGTAGCGAACGCATGCTTCTTTGATGAGTTTCAGGGCTTCGGTTTGGTTTCTTTGGCCAAGAGCAGCGAGCGCCCGCTCACATTCAGCATTGATCGCATCCTCATCGAGCTGTTCTGCATTACTCTGTTCATCACGAAGATTGTCGGAAGTACTGGTATTCGGTGGTCCTCCATCACTGGTGGTTGCGTGGTTGGCCGTCGATGGTGGTTTGGATTGTGAAGGAGGGTTCCACTTCTTCTTAGGTCCCATTAGATGTTTACTACACAAATAATTGGTTTGTAATGTAACCGAAAACGTAAATGAAACGGGGAAGATAGAGAGAGAGGTGATTGGAGAGAGGCGTAGGGTTGATCGGAGTCGGTGGTGTTTCTTGATTTCTTGGTGTCAGAGTAACCTTGAGGTCCAACTGTCATAACAGACTAACTTGTGGAAAGTGAGTGAGATTGTTAAAGGCTCGTGGCGTACGAGATACGAAGATATATAATAAGCGCGCACACACTCTCTCTCTCTCTCAAAGTCGGTGTTGCGCAAACAGAGCAAAATGGGCTCTGCGCTGCTGCTGGGCGCCGAGCCTCGAACCCTTAGTATTTAAAACAGCTTTTGATCTATCCATGGATTTTTGTGGTTTTGAAAGTAATTTTTAAATATAGGTACTTTTTAAAAACGTAAAATAAATTAACTTTTTTTAGTCCAATGCTGTAGCTTAGCCCACCACTAAAAACGTCATTCGGTTTGACGTATTTTTTAAATGAATTGACCTTTTTAAGCTTGAATCCGATTTTCGTTTCTCTCTTCTTTCCCTCTTCTTTCATTCTCCGTCACTTTCTTTCCCCAAATTCTTTGCCCTACTTCAATTAGGCGACCCAACAGCCACCACCCCTGACTTTCGTCAGGCGCACCTCCAACGACCACCACCACCCACCATCGCAGCACACCCACCACCAACCTACACCACCGCTGCACCCCCACCTTCGCAGCACCACCCTACACCACCCAACAGCACCCACCATTGAAACCCCAAATCCAAGCACCACCAGGTGACATTCTTCAGTCTCGTGCGTAGAAAATGTGGTTTTTCCCCAAGCTGAGGTTTTAAGGAGGTTAAAGGGTATGTTTTGTTCTCCATTTTTTTCTGTTCTGCTTGATTTCATATGTCATTGGACGTAGTTTGTGTTTTCTTGGTAATTTTGGTGAACAATTAGAGATGGGTATTAAGGGACTTTTTTTGGATTTGATTAATAATTCTGCTATAATTTGATGGCCTCATTTATATTATGATTCTATGGTTTTATTTGAGAAGTATCTGTTATTAATTTAGTTTATTTGTTGTTTGGGTTTAAAGCTTTTTATGGATGATTTAATTTGGGTGAACTGAAATGACTTATGAGTTGTAAAGTTCAATTGGGTTTGATTTGCTAAATCTTTAATTGGTTGAAGGCAGTGAAACTTTGATGTATACGAACACCCAATTGAAGCTACTGTCATTGTAATGTCATGCTCTTTAGTAGCACTGTATGGATCCAAATGCACTTTGTCCATAATATATTGGAGCTTTTGACCCATCCCACGTTGTTGAGCTTTTGACCATAATGAAAATGGGAGTTGAGCTCGGCTCTGCCCTCCAGCCACATCAATTCCTTGGTGTTCAATTTCCCTTTCATATTATCAGTGTCGTCAGGTTATGAATTTAACTGCAGCACAAGAAGCAGTAGCCTGGTGGTCACAATCTCTCTGACAATATAAAGTTATAAGATTTGAGACAAAACCACATAAATGGAGTATGGGTGTTTTTTCTATTTTTTTATAGTTTTCAGGTTGTCAAAGGTATTTATTTGTTTTTGAGAGAAAGAGAGAGAGAGAGAGAGGTATGTTATGGAGTAGGCATGACCATTGGCTTTTGTTATGCTAACTTAGTACTAGAAGTGATTAAATAGACTGGATTAATTTACTAGTTCAGTTAGACATACCTAATCATCAGACCCTAAGGTCAACAAGTCTTATCGAGCTTTCGTAGCTACTCATTCTAGTGTTTAGAATGTGGTTGTGGATATTTTTAAAGCATGCGAGATGTACCCTATTCCTTTCAAATTTGATTCTTGTAAACTTTTAAATTTGAAATTGTTGACACGTGGAATTGCTAGCCTAAGGACACAACCCCAACGTCTTAATGGGTAAGGTGCACAATGACATTAGATAAATGTATAGAGATAGAGAAAGACTATGGTATCGGAAAATATATCGTACCAAAATTACAATAATTTAAGATCAAGTTATAATTTTTAAGGTATTAGTTACAATTCCAAAGAGTAGAAGATCGACTCCTGTGACACGATCTAAACAAGATATTTAGTTATTATTAGACTAATTCATTTCAGTCCCACCATGTGATACCCAAACAGAGCATCCCCTAGGTGTTCATTCATTATATTTTCATATCTTGTGGGTGTCTCTCAATATTTAAAAAATGGGTAGGTATATACAAGACTTTTTTTTTAAACTTTAGTTTGGAATTATAGTTGGACTTGATGCCCCCAATGGGCTGGGATGAGATGGGCTAGAGGGCAGAATCGAGCCCAACTCCCATCCCACTAAGTCTTGCCTCGATACCCCTCGACAAAATGAAAATGCTGAGAGCTGCATTTTCTGCAAGGCATTGTGTGTTCCTTTTTTGCATTTCTTCTTGGTCAGAGGTGCATTATTTGAATTTTTTATTGAGAAACATATTGGGTAACAGAAAAGGACCACTTGCCCAAATAATCTTCATCAATAATCTTGTGTCAACTACTCATTTTAGCTCAGATGTTTATCATCGTAATTCGAGTACGTCTATAATATGTTCCCTAAAGAATATGGGTGATTGTCCCTTAGAAATTATAAAAAGTGTTGAATTAAAAACTTTTAAATTATCAGACATCAGACTCAATTATTGAACTACTTTAAAACTTTTTTAGTCATTATTAGATCATGAATAGTTTTTTGGAGTTATAAATTGAGGTCAAATGAGTTGCAATTATATCTTGTCTACTTATACATCTCGATATAATATCATAATTGATCACAATTTAGCTCCACCAAGTTACCATTAATATTTTTTAAATCAAAATTTAATCCAAAATTAGCTCTATTGATTTGTTTTTAATTATAAATTTCAATATAATACCATAATCTTCCTTACTTTTTCCACCACCATTTGCATTTCCATCCTCAAATAATGTTGGACAAGTGGTTTGGTCACTCTCTCCAAATTTTAGTCATCGGTTTGCTATCACAAAGAAATTTTTTATTTGCATTTAATTTAAGTATTTAATTAGACTATTCAATTCATTATATTTATTAGATAAAAATATGATTTTATTCAATATTAAAACTCATAGTTGATCTATTTTTTGAAAAAAAATAAAATTAGGTGATTAATAACGATAATGAATTAAGTTCTTAATTTCAATGGATAGCTCAAATAGTAATAGAGATGGCGTGAATGACAAGTTCATAATATTATTCTTAATTTCAATGGGTAGCTTAAATAGTAATAGAGATGACGTGAATGACAAGTTCATAATATTATTCTTAATTTCATAATATTATTTTTTTGTAGTTTAATCCCTATATTAAAAAATCAATTATCTCAAAGGCTTAAAGTGTTTCATTTTGATGGAGGAGGTGAATTCACAAGTTCTCAAGTGGAATATTTTTCATCTATTCATGGAATTCATCATGCTAAGTCTTGCCTCGATACCCCTCGGCAAAATAAAAATGCTGAGAGGAAACATTGGCACATTACAGAAACTGCTCTCAACATTCTAACTGGAGCATCTCCTCCTTAGTCTTTGTAGTTTCATGCATTTGCAACTGCTACACATCTAATTAACAGACTACCTCCAAAAACCACAAATCACAAGTCTCCTTTTGAGCTTCTTTTTCATACTTCTCTAGATTATTCTTCCACAAAGGTTTTTTGTTGTGCATGTTATATCTTACTCATCCCATACTCCAAACACAACTATGAATAAACATGAAAATTTTGAAATTATTAATCGAATGTCAATGACTATCACCACTTGACATTTCTCTGTGTGATTCAGTTTAACTATGTCATCAATTGGTAATCATTAATGGAGGTGTTAGATATTAACAAACTCAGCTTTCAGATTTTTATTAAGAAAGTATCCATTGATCTATCGGTTCATACCCTCTGTGGTGTTGGACAAATACGGGTCTATATCAACTTGTCTACTATTTTTCTTTTATTTAGTAATGGTTAGATCACTTGATCATCTGGTATTATTAATTAACTCATATAGACCTGTATTGTATTGTCTATCTAGAAACTCATATTGTAACTCATAAGATCACAATAGTAACTTATATTGTATCGTCTACACTCCTAACATAATTGAAGTTCCAATCTAAGGCATGGTTACTCTTTCCAAAAGGTTAATTGTGTTTGGGCGTCAAGTATAAACATTATTAATTTTTAGAGAGAATTACACTCAAACATTATGTAGGTTATCTATTCTATGTCTGTCTCTCTCAATCTTAATCGAAGTTCAATATTTATTTCTCTTAGGGATCAAACACCACATTTACTTCAAAATAAGCATGTTGATTTTGAATCACTCAAAGTAACTCTAGTATTGTCATCCTTGAGTTGGATAGTCTTGATAATTTTGATAAAGTTGTCAATGTTCTTCAATTACTGCCTTGTTAACCAAAAAAATTGCCAACATTGTTTGGCTTCTTGATAATATATTTCACTTCTGATTCAATACATGATAACATCTAAGGAGATACGCTCTTATGGGGATTATTTATTCAAACTTCCATATAAAAGTTGTACCTTCATCTTTCGTAGTATCATACAAGTACATTTCATCCTTGTAGGTTTTCTAATTGATAATTTCTTCAAGTATTAATTGTTTCTATCTATTCCCAGGTTCTTCTGAATTCAAAACTTATTCTACAGCCTAAACTAATTGAAATGGCGGAAAAACAAGTTATCATTTTGCTATATTGGGGTGGACAAATGAACTATGGCTCGGAGGGTTTATCATACAGTTGTCCTCCCAAAGGTGGTATTGTTATCAATAGTGGTACATAATTGTCGGAGTTATTGAGTAAAATTTATACTGTAATAAGATTGGACAGGGTGCATAACAAGTTGAAGTTGATATGTAGATATCCTTTTACAGTTGAAACAGGACCAGGACCAAAAATAAATACACATGTCGGTCTAGAAATTGTTAACGATG